CTCGAGGACCTCGCCGACGTTCTCCGGGGCCCCGCGCGGGGCCGAGTAGATGTCGAAGTTGTTGCGCGAGGCAGCGGCGCTGAAGAGCGGCTGGGCGTAGTAGGCGGTCAGGGTGTCGAGGAAGGCGCGCAGGGGGGGCGAGATGCGGTCGTAGAGCTCGTAGCCCGAGGCCCAGAGGGTGTCTGCGCGTCGACGTCAGCTACGGTCGGTGGGGGAGGGAAGGGGGAAGGAGCATACCGCCGCCCGTCTTGGGGAGCTGGGTGAGGCGCAGGAGGGCGTAGTCGCTGGGGATGGGCTCGAACGTAATGTCCGAGTGCCACTGGTTCTTGTTGCTCTGGCCGCGGCGGCTGCCGATCCACGACGAGGAGCCGCTGGCGAAGCGGTCCGAGTACAGCGCCTTTTGCTGCACGGACGAGATGACGCTGATTTCGTTGTCGTTGCCACCTTGCTCGCGCGACGCGTTGCTGATGGGGTGGATGTGCAGGCCCGACGAGGGCGGCTTGTTTGTCAGGAGTCCAAGGCGGTGTACTAATTCTTTTTGCAGCTCGTCTGTGAGGTTGTCTTGCTTGCGGAAGAAGACCACGCCGCGCTGGGAAACTGGGTGGGGTGTGTCAGTGGGAGTGGGGCTGCGGGTGGAAGGGGAGACGTACTGGTAATGGCGAGATCGCGGAGGAGCTCGTCGCTGTTGGGGGCGCGGAGCCACTTGACGAGGTCGACGCCAGAGAACTCGCGGCCGATGACGGGCGTGACGTCGAACGAGTTGAACTGGTCGAGGGCGCCGCTGAGCTTGAGGGGCTCGACGTGGTTCTCCAGGCGAGGGGGAAGGTCGTCGGAGGCGGCGCTGGGGACGCTGAGAGGCTTGGCCTCTGCGGGAGCTTCCTTGGGAGCGTCCACGACAGGGGCGTCGACGGCGGGGGCGGCGTCGACAGCGGGGACGTCGACGGGCTTGACTTCGAGGGTCTCAGGGGTGGGCTCCGGCGTGGTGACTTCAGTGACGGTCTGGATGGGTAGACCCTTGGTGATGACCTCCTGCACCGCCTGGGGGGCGATTTCGATGGCGCCTGGAGACATGGTGACGGTTGGGGGATGATTCAGGGGAAGTGTAAACAGGGTCTGTGTTCTCGACTTGGATACCCTGTTGATAAACTTTGAGCTCCAGGAACCCTCTACTTATACCCAAGCATCTCACGGAGAGCCAAGCCGATTTCGCACATCTTCATGTCAACGATTGCCGACCATGGCTTATCTCCGGACTCCAGAATTGCTGGCCCCATCCTTGGGGCGGATTCACGAGTTAGATGGGCGCATTTCCCATGGTGGAAGATATTTGCTGGTTGACGTGCGAGATGATCAATCCAATGGCAAGCTCGTGCAGGTATCCGGAGTAACCAAAGTAGCATAGGGGGCAGCGTGCCCGCTTGGCTGTGTGGTGGGATGCAGCGAGGTTGTTTGCGGGATGGACGACGCTTGCAAGACGTGCTTTGCCCCACGTTGTTCGTGGCAGGATTGAGCGTCTAGCTTGCTCTTGGACGCGGGGGAAAGAAGCCGAGGGGTGGTGATGCCATCGCGGATGGTGATCACGCCAGCCAATCACCACCATCAATTGCACAAAGTGGATGCCAAGGCCCCTATCCCCGATTCCCCCGACGTCAAAGAGCGATGTCGTCCATCCCCCAAGGTATATTGGCCGATTCGGTCCCGTGATGGGGTTCGGAGGGAGAAGAAGACAGGCAAGGGGGATTGAGGTGCGGAGGGCCAAGAGGAAGCGTCTTCCAAGGTTCTTTGTTGCTTTCCTCCGGACTCCCGAACGCTGCTGCTCCCTGACGACAGGCACATATGGAAAGAATTACAATCCAGCCCTGGTTTGTTTGTTAGCGCGAGGCATGAGAGATACTAGCCAGGCCAGAACCTGATCCCATCTGGGCATCGATGCTTTGAACTCCATTTCACCCACTACCCCACCCACCTCCCCATACACCAGAAGGAAACAAGAGAGAAGCATTATCCGCATCTTCACTTCTCTGTATCAATCAAGATACCAGTCTTCTTCTCATCCGCCGCCGGCGTCACCAGGTCAACTTCAATATCCACCGGCGCCGGCCTGACCTTGACCTGGACATCTGCCTTCTTGGTATCTGAGTCAGCCTGCGAGTCGTTGGTGTCCGACTTCTTGATGCTCGGCCGAATCTCCAACGACTTGGCGTCTGACTGGACGTCCGACTTCTTGGTATCTGACGCCGAACCCTTCTCAGCCAGGTCAGGGCTGTCGCGCTTCTTGCGGGCGGCTTCCATCTCGTGCTTCTTCTTCTTCTTTGCGTCGAGGTCTCTCATCCGCTCCGATATAAACTGCAGGATGGCAAAGAGGAGCATCAGATTCAAAAAGATGGGCACCAGCTGGCCGAACGAGGCCGCGTCATCCTCGGGGTTCATGCCGTTGATGGCTAGTTCGAGCCTGGAGAGAGCTCGGGTGTCAGTCATTGTCAGGCTGGGTGGTGACAAACAGGGAGAGAACATACCAGCCCGACTTGCCGACCCAGTTGCGCATCCTCACAATGTACCACGCCGAGGTAGCCACCGTCCAGATGCCCACCACATTTCCCAGCACGAGGTAGGCCCCAAAGAGGAACCGCAGAAACCACTGCGGACCCGGCCTGAACAGCCACCTGAACTTGCCCCTGAACCACACGGCAAGCTGCTTGCGATGTCCCTTCTCCTCGTCCTTACCGGATCGAACAAAACTCGCAAGCCGCACTACCACCGCCACGCCGTAGCACAGAAACATTATGACGTATTGCGGAAAGCCCGGGATCCGACTCCCGCTGAGGAACCCCAGTCCGGAGCTCGTAAACTCCTTGACACTCGCCGACAGCCCGGATTGACCAGACTGGAAACACGCCGCCGGCAAAAGGAGATCACTGTACTTCTCTGCGTCCGGAGGCACAACGGTGGGGAAGCTTTTGGAATCGGAGCCCTGGTTGGAGAGCAGGACGCCGGTGACAATGTAGAGCACGGCGGTGACGGCGATGCGCACGAGCGAGGGCAGGGGGTTGTCCCAGTAGTTGCGGGCGACGGTGACGGCGACGAGGTGGGTGGCACAAGTGATGAGGAGCATGTTGGCGACGACGTCGTAGTGGTAGGCCGAGATGGAGCAGCCCGTGACATAGCGGAGGGTGACGGCGTAGGCGCAGCCGGTGAAGATTTGCTGGTCGGAGCAGGTGGTGACGAAGGACTCGAGGAAGCCCGAGAAGGAGATGGAGGTGGCTTTGAGCTCGGCACGGACTCTGGGGGGAGAATGTTAGGGTGGGAGGTCAGGGTTGGAGGATAGGGGGTAGAGGGTGCGGACTCTTCATGGTGTCTCTTTTTCCAGGCGAGGACGTTCTTCATCAGCCACCAGATGGTGCTGAGGACGGAAAAGATGAGGGCCACGACGGTGACGACCAAAAAGGCTCCCAGGACCTGGTGGGAGAGTCAGTCGGTTGACATCGGCTGGCCATGTGGGGAAGGGACTTACACCGATCCCGGCAATGTCGGGGTTGGCGGGAAAGCCACCCCGTTCGAAGCCGCCGACTGTCTCGGGGCCCTGGCTCGTCCCGTTTCCCAGATCATGCTCGCAACTGAGCGTGACCCCGCGGCTTTCGCAGTACTCTCGGGAGACGTACGCACCCATGGTGAAGGTGTGTCGCGACTTTTGTCAGGAAGTTCAACGCAGTGTGGGTGCTGTCGATGACCCGACACGCAAAGGCAAACGACCCGCGACGTCCATCTCCTTTAAGGGCACGATGGCAGCAGCAGACAGCAGCAGAGCCTTGCTGTGTCGCACCTGATTTTTCTCCTGATGCCCTCAAAATCCCGAGATGCAGCCCGCACTGTGACACAGGTCGCTGTCGACGGGCTGGAGCCATGGCTGCCATGCACACCCGGTAGGGACGACGGCAGGGTCAACGGCCAGTTGTGTGTCAAGGGAGCTCCCGCTGTCGGGGCTGAGATGTGGTTGCGGGAGTGCTGATTTGTAGATGGGTAAAGTGTGAGATAGAGTGCCCTTTGATGGCAACCACACCCCTTCGGCCGTCTTGTGATGGCATTCGGGGGTCCGGGCCTGCAGGGGGAAATGGGGGTGGTCTGCTCAGACGCGTCTGCCGCTGATAGGAAGCCTTGTGGTGGGCGGTCATATCTCAGATGGGTGTGCTACCACAGAAAGCCGAGAGCTGGGTGTCGACCAGGGTTTGGTGGCGGCGGCAGGCATGCTGATTGATGGTGGTCGGCCTGGGAGGTCAGGACTCGAGATGGTGATGTTGGCGATGGTTGGGTCCCCCGCCAACTGAGGGGTCGCTCGAAAAGTGCACATCGCCCACCGACGCGCAGTTTGGGTACCGAATTGTTCTTCATTCGTCGTCAGAGAAAATATCAGAGTGAATCGGAATTGACTCCTCTTCGGCCCGGCATGTTGTCCAGTGGCAGAAGAGGTCGAAGCCTGCCCGACCTACCTTTGCGCGACCAATGTTTGGTGGAGGGATGAAAGGTGTGCGCATCTGCGACCGACAGCCTGGACTTGCGCTGTGCAACCCCCCGCCCCCCCCCCAGGACGCTGTGCTACAGCACCTTTGACCCCAGTGGCACCCACAACCTCGGTGGAACAGACCCCCACCTCCTTTTCCGATTTTCATCTCGAAGCTGCATTCTCCACGGTGCGACCAGTTTTGCTCGCCAACACCCTCACTCTCCCCAAATGAAGCATCAGTCACTCGCTACATTTCAGGAGACTCGCATACATATTGCCAAACATCCAAAGGTCCTTTTGAAAGTCCTTGCCCTCTTCTCGGGCCGGCAATCCCATCCCATCCAACCCATCCCACTTCCGAATCCTGTCGCCACGGTGCTGCGGGCGGGAGGGAATCAATCCACAATCCACCACCGATGTGATTCCTTCTCCATCTTCACCATCCACCTGGATCCTCACTTGTACCCCATTTCCAGACACATCCACCATCAATCCATCAGAACTCCTCATGGTGTAGTTGGCTATCACGTTCGACTGTAACTGTAGAAAATTATCTATCGAAAGGTCACCGGCTCGATTCCGGTTGAGGAGAAGGATGCTATCTTTTTGGCGCCCACCCTGGCCCCTGTCATTCTTGTCGTCAACATTCCGCGATCCCCCACCTTCCACTTTTGAATTCTTGAACTTCGTGCCTCCCCGCTGCCCGTATGGACGGCCCCAAGTACCTTTTTCGACCCACTGTTAGCAGGGTCGATCAATTCCCACTCGAAATCGATCCCCTCGACTATCGCCTTTAACAGCGAAAACAACGGGACACATGGAAGCTGCACGTCGCATGCCCCGGTGGTTGCGATACTCCGGGCAGTCGCAATTCTCGCATGCTGAACGTCATCTCTCCTCACTTACCTAGCTTTTTCTTTTTTCTCGCCGTAGGACCGCAGACGCAAGATGCACGACGAGGCCACTGCCCCCAAGTGATCCTGCCGCCCCCGCCCTGTTGTGTCCAGATCGCGTACCTGGCCAAAGTCCCCGCAGAGCACAACGCAATCTGAGCAACGGATGTTCAAGAGGGGCAGTTGCGAACGATTCCTCCATCAAATCAGCCATGTTGGCTCAGTTGGTAGAGCGTTGGTCTCATAACATGATCTGAATAGACTTCAGAGTTATCCAAAGGTCGTGAGTTCGAGCCTCACACGTGGCAAGCAATATTTTTGCCTCCACCCACATCCCTTGTGTGTGGGGATGGCTGAATGCACTTGACTTTTTGCATTGTTTGGGCTTGTTCTCTCAACAGGAAGGCGCGATGTAGCGCGGCTCCCCTTTTAGCAAATCACAATGTTAACATTATATCCGGCCCCTTAACTCTTCAGCAGGTAGTTTCATCTAACCATGCGAGCGAAACTGTCCGACACTATTGGCTAAAGCTACGAAGTGCATAGCGCCCTGCAGGCACCTTGAATAATATTGAGTGACTCGATGTCCGAGCCCTCAGAGCCTTGCCCAGCCCAACATTGATATATATGTATTTGAGGGAGGGGCTTCGTAATGGAAACTCTCAACCCTCCGTCCCTTCCATCCCTTCCGCCCCATTTTCCCATCATTTTCGGTCTAGCCTATCTGTCATCACTCCCGCTCCTGCGATGCCTGACGCAGCAACGCAGCTCAGTCCCGCTGACGCAGCAACGGATGGGACTGACGATGCTGAATTCAAGTTGGTGGTGGCACAATGCTTGGACCGGACAAAGACGACGGCCTCTTTGGCGAGAACGTACGGCGGAGATATAACGTCCAGGGCCATGCCTATGTCAACTATACGTTCCCTTCAGAGCACAGCAACCCTCCTGACGCTGCTGCTATCTTCGCGCGGTACTCAAATCTACTCGAGAGGATGGTCGTATTAACAGTAGGAAGCCCGAAAGCCCCGGTCACAACGGCGATTCCTGGCGCCAGCACCATCCCGAGATCTGCTGCGTTGGTCACTAAAGAGGATGTCTTCGAAGCTGCTGAGCTGGAAATCCAAAAAGTGTATGAAGCTGGTATTGCGGTAGCGCTAAGCAAGCGCTCGGCCAGCAAGAACTCGTCCAACAAGGACTCGGCCACCAAGGAGTTGGCCAACGAAGACTCGGCCAGCGAGAACTCGGCCACCAAGGAGTTAGCCAACAAGGACTCGGCCACCAAGGAGTTGCCCAACAAGACCTTGGCCGAAAAGGACTTGGGAGCAGCTCTAGAAGCGGTCATTGGTCGACTCAAAGATACAAACAACTGCCGCAGCACCGACGGGCAACCCGTTATAAGCGTGTCCGACTGCGCCGAAATCATCCGCTGTGTGCTAGCGGCTTGTGCTTTCACCGTACCCCTGATCGAGGTCAGACAGGCTGTTGGCACCGGATCTTCCAAGAGTGATGACAGCAAGGCTCCCCATGAAAAGGACTCAAAAGTGCCGGCCGAGATCGTCCTGGCGAGTCTGCCACCGGTATCCGCTCTTTTATAGATACCTAGCATAGGACACCCTACAAGAGTTTACATAACGTCCTCCAGGAAATCATTATCGTCGTCGTCCCCCTTAATCACTATCTGCGCCACCAACTTGGAACCGATCAATGAGATGTCTTATCTTCATCTGGTTTGAGATGGCCCCTCGAGATGATCCTCACTTCAAAATGAACTGATAAATCGAGCCCAAATTCCCATCCACATCCTCAAAGTACCGATACACCCCGTGCCCGCCCTCATCGCGCGCCTCGCTCATCATCTTGCCTCCCGCCTCCTCAATCACCTTGGCCGTGGCCTCGACATCACCCACGAGCCACGAGATGACAACACCCCCGCGGCCGGGGCGCGGAGCAAATTTGTCGGACGAGGGGTGATGGGCAAGGGAGATGCCCCCCGAGATGTTGACGTCGGGGTTGAAGTCGACCATGACGGGCTTGTTGTCCTCGGGGCGGGAGGGAGTGTCGAGGACCTCGGGGTTCTTCCAGGTCCAGTTGAAGACGGTGGAGTAGAACTTGTGAGCTGGGGGCGAGTTAGTTTTGGGGACACGGAAGAATGGGGGGAGGACTGACAGCGGGCCATGTCGGTCGAGGTGATTTCGATCCAGACGGGGCAGCCGGTTTTGGGGGGCTTCCAGTCGGACATTGTGGGGGTTTATAGGGGTGTTTCTTGGGTTGCTTGCCTGAGAAGCTGTTAGAGGTGGATAAATTAAATGAGAAGAAGATAGAGATGAAAAAGATGTCAACTGCCGGCACATATGCCAAGACACTAGATATATAGCCCCCTTTTCTTACCCCTAAATTCTCACTACATCTACTAGGAATAGCCTTATTTCCTCGGCAAGTTATCATCGCTAGCACCTTACATATTACCATAGCTTCCAGCTACTTATAAATAGGTAGCTATACCTTACAGATAGTAGTATCTCTCTTTAATAAATATATTTACTTTACTACTACTTTTAACGGCCTCGTCCGGCTACTATTTAAAACCCTTTTATCTATTTAATTCTAGGTAATAGTTATAAGCCTAAAGGCTTCTTCTAAAACTATCGTTTCCGTTATTATAACCCCTTTAATCCGATTAATTTAACTCGTTAACTTATAATAGTTAAGGCCGGATATTACTCGCCTATCTCCCCCTTATTACTAAAAGGACTTATATTATCCTTATACTTAGGGATATATCTTTATTAGTAACTATTACCGGTTACCGGTAACTTATCTTTAAGCCTTTCGCTATAGCCTTAGTATTTTATAATCCTACGGCTATCTACCTTATCTTACTAAGGATCTCCTCCTCTCTCCTAAGGGGGGACTTAGCTATAACTTCGATAAGCTTATAGCTATTTAGTATATTCTTACGGCTTATTATTATAAACTTATTACGGCTTATTATTATAAACTTACTAGGAGAACCCCCTCTCCCCCGGAAAGGCTTCTAACCGTAGCCTTAACTCCTTATAACTCTTTAAAGTTATAAGTATATCCCTTAATTATTACCGGAAGCCCCTAGCTATAGCCTCGGCTCCCCGGTATACTATTTAGTATATACTTATAGCTTATAGCCTACCGGGAGCCTTTAACCGTAGCCTTAGCTCTTCGGTAAGCTACCTAGTTTATACTTATAAGCCCTTAATACTACCCTATTTACGGAAATAATTTCCCTAATATAAAAGGGGAAACCTTTCCCGCGGTAGCTAGCCCTTATAGCTAAAGGGATCCCTAACCCCCTTAGGTAAGATATAGTAGCCGGGACGTTATTACTAGATATATAGAAGTAATACCCTAGCGGCTATATAACGGAAGATATTCCTCCGAAATATAGTAATAATAAATTTAAGATTTAAAAGCCCGAAGCTACCTTCTATTATAATAGTATCTTAAGGCCGCTTTTATAAAATAAGCTACCTTTAACCTAGCCGAATAATCGCTATAGCTTCTTTAACTATCCCGGTAACCCCCCGGTAATACCGATATTACCGTCGTTATCTTAGGTACCTTTCCGGCGTTACCGTACCGTTACCGTACTTACCGATAGTAGTAACTACTTTAACTCCCCCTTTAACTACCGCCGTACCGTTACTATACTTCCCGATAGTAGTAACGTTCTAATATACTAGCTATTACGTTAATATTAAGCTTCTCGCTAGTAGTATTAACTTAATAAGCTCCTTACTATAACTAAGTTAAACGATAAGGTTATTACTATAGTTAATAAATTCTTCCGTAAACGGAAGGATTAAGCTAGATAATTTAAAGCCTTTATCTAAGCTTTCCGTTAGTATAAGTCCAAGGCCTTCGTTAATATAAATAACCTTACTAAAGCCGGTACCCCTTAGGCCCTAGTTTATCTAGGCCCCGGCCTATAATACTTTACCTTCCTTAGTACTACCGGCTAAGTTAAACTCTTATCTAACTCCGAGGATACCAAGGGTAAAGACCTTCCCCGTATAAACTATACCTTAGATAAGTTTTATACCTTTATTAACGAGAAGGAAGTTTATAGCTTTAAGATAGTAAAGACCTCTTATTAACGGGATATTATAAAGTACCGTCGTTAATAAACCGCTATTAATAAGACAGTTAAATAGATTTATAACTATATCGAAAAGATTATCTACTATAGTATTACTCTTATAGTAACTCTTTACAAGATCGTTATATATCTTTATAAGTACGTTACTATCGATAAGTAGTACGAGATTAACACCGCCGTCGCCGAATACGAAAAAGTCTTAAAGTAAGTTAGCCGCTTTATAGCTATCGAGGCTTAGTTTACTATTTAGTTTAAAGCCTTTAATATTATCTCCGTTATCGCCTTAGACGAGATTAATAAGATTAAAAATATCCGCCGCTTCCTCTAGGCGACTACCTACTACTCCCCCGACTTTAGTAAGATCTCTCTTATATAGGCTAATACTATAAACTACCGCTACGATATTAACGCCCTTCCCCTTCGCTATTACGCCGAGATATTCCGCCTTACCTAGGACGACTTTATCTTTAAAAGTTAATTCGTTAAAAGTACCTTTTAGGGAAAGGACGATAAAGGGAATAAGATTAGTAAGAAGAAGGAGGAGTATATATATAGTTTTAATAG